TGTGTTCCTCGAGATCCACGAGTTTAAACCGGGTGAACACTCAAATAGGAAGACTCGAATCCACCCTTTCTTACTGCATATTACATAAACCGTAGTAATGAGGTAGTAAATTTTGCCGATGTTAATTCCCTTAATATCCATATGAAGCTTTGTAAATAATAGAGTGAGCAAATAAAACTTTAAACAAATCCTCGAACGTGGGTAACTATAGAAATATAATGTTTCCAGTTTCTACAGCACAATGGCTCGGTAGCATACGTGCTTGGTACTGAGTTAACGTCCGAGAATCTCGAGTTCGAAACTCACGTCTCATCCCTTTTTTTCTTCTTAATTATCAACTATGCTTATTGGTTCACCTGGTAAACTTAAGATTCATTAAATATATGATTATATTAGTCTACAAATATTGTATTTTATTACATTGTATACATGCAATAAATTGGTACATCAAATCGCGAACGTTTCTTCTTCCCGAGAGCCTACCTGTGACAAACACCTATGTTACGCTGTTTCATGTTTTAATAGTATAAATAATATTTAGACGGATAAAGAAGGCATTACGGAAAATTACCAAAAACAAAAATGCACTTATAAATCTCGGGCATAAAAATAATGATGAGCATATAAAAATGAACCAATTATTTTCTATAGTGAGATAAAACGAATAATGTATCTGGTTAGGGAGTTTTTTTTTCATTTAATTTTTACCATTCAAGGCTATGTAAAAGTAACATTTTTAATACATCGAATTATCAGAAAATTATGTCGAGGTATAATTTTAATTCTGAATTATTTTTTACATCAGAACATACTGATAATTCGAGATATTAAAAATACAATTATCTTTCCGTAGGCTTGAATAAAAAAAAATGTACTAAATTCTATCAGGCTACTCAAAAATTTATGAAACTAACAATTTATAAGCAGATACACTATTTGTCTCATCTCACCATAAGTACATATGTATAAAATAATTGTGTGGGTTTTTTACGCTTTTCATTTTTTTTACCCGATATTAATAAATGCAATTTTTTGGGACATAAAATCAAAACAAAAAATGAAATGGAGAAATGTATCTATGTTAGAAATGCAAAAGCGTTAAGCGTTAAGCGAATGAAACGAGATTTTTTTCCATTGCTGTAAATTTTTCTCTTACGCCTTCATGAGAGTCCGTATCACAACAAGTGAGGCTGCTCAGTTCTACCAGCTATGGATAATCATGTACGAAGAACATACATTGGACGCGTTGGCAACGATTCAGCTTCGTAATCGTAAGTTGCCGCGTTCGCGTCTGAAGACGAAATCTTTTTTTTTCGTTATTTCTTTTTTCTTTTTACATGCATGTATGATACTGGCTGGTTTTCCTTTCATCGTAGACTGTTGTTCAGTCTGAAGTACAAGTTCTGCGTTTTGCTTTTCGATAGACATTTTGAAAACACAAAGTATCCGTATGACTCGACACGGATTGAGAGAGAGAGAGAGAGAGAGAGAGAGAGAGACCTCTGTTGGTAGCGCGTTATACATTTTCACTCCTTCATAGAACATGCTTTTTTGGGCACTTCTAGTTCTCCTGAATTCTATTGCGATATTTTCCGCTTGTCGTGTAACCCTATCAGTTTTAGATGTCACAATAATTAACTTATTCGCTACTTCTTTCGGCATCAGATTCTTTACGCGCTTGTAAATATATATACACATTAAAGTATAGTCTCTGCCTCACACTCATAAACTGAACCGCTTGTAACATATCCTCTATCTTTGCATACCTGCTGCATTGCAATATGACACGCATCGCTCTGTTTTGCGCTATCTGCAGTTTATTGAGTTTTGTCTCGCCCATACATACTAACAGTGTAGCACAATATTCAAAATGTGGGGCAATGATTGCCTTATATACGACGCATCTGGTGTACGCTGATATATATTGTCTTAACTTATTTATAAAACTCGTCTTTTTACCATATATTCTTATATCTTCATTCATATTATATATATGAATGAATAATATATTATATTCATTATATCTTTTTCAACATATATTCACAGTGATCTTTAAATCGCAGCTTATCATCGATCATCACTCCTAGGTATTTCATTTCTTCAACTCGTTCGATTTCAGTTCCATCCATACATT